CAAGGAGAGGATACTTAGTCGAAAGCCCAATCCAGATGAGACATATGTCATCTTAAAGCGCTCGAAACGCTGATTCCAAATCTGCAGTTTCTAGCTGCGGAGCGGTTTTGTAGGAGGAGTTATGAAGGGTGTCCCCCTCTGGGATTTAAGCGCCCTGCGGCGGTCTCCCCGCATCTCTAAGCACTGTAGAGGAGTATCAGCTGTGGCAACTGACCTAATGGTAAGTAACTTGAATGAAGATTACAGTAAAGACTGTAATACTCATATTACTTTGGTTTTTTAACACTTCTAACTTCGATTAGTATTAATATCATCAAAAGTTTCATGCTTTAGGGCTTTAAAGCCATTTAGAAGTTCAATTTAGCATGCGAAGGGGATTAAAACCTTAACACTCTCTTTATCAAGCGTGTCACTTACCACTAGGTCAGTTGCCACCAGTTGGTACTCCTCTACAGTGCTCTTAGGTAGGGAGAGACCTGGTGGAAGGTGCCTCAACCTGAGAGGAAACACCCTTCATAACTTCCTCTACAAAACCGCTCCGCAGCTAGAAACTGCAGATTTGGAATCGCCGTTTCAAGCGCTCTAAGATGGTATATGTCTCATCTCGATTGGTGCTTTCGGCTAAGTATCCTCTCCTTGTTAGAATAATTCTCAGAACCTTTTTAACCCATTGACGACGAAGCCTAATTTCGCATGGCGGCGCTGTGGGACGACGCGATTTTGCACAACACTTTCGGTGTGGGAGAGTTTTGTGGCTATTTACGAAATGCAAGGTTGTTTTGTAAACAGTCACAAACATTACTTGAACGACGGAGCCTGCAAGCCTCAGGGGGCAAAAACTTGGAAGAAATATTGATATGTGGAAAAAATACTAGACCTACAAATGATATGATTTTGCAAGACGTGTGGACCACCGGTGGATCACATCGTAGTCAATGGGTTAATATTCAAATTAGTGTTGTAAAAAATTTTTCGGGGGGAGGGGGAGTGGGGGCGGTTCCCCCCCCCCCCTCGATCCCACCTCTTCTAAATTTTAAGTGTCATAGACCCGCACAAGCTTTGAAAAGCACCCCCAAAAATTTTTCGGAGTGCGCAGCTGACCATCTTCATTCGAAAAATTTTTTGCAGCCCCCCCCCCCCGGGACGGAAATACTGCGACCGCCACTGTTTCACTCATGGAAGTATTCGTACACGCTGTTTGCAAAAATTGTGGTCTTGGTGGAGACGAAGTCTTCTAGCAGAGAGATGCTCGTAAGGAGAGTGAGGTCAATACCTCCGAGATACAAAAGAGTGGTAAGGTTTGCTCACTCAGCGGGTGGTCCCTCGATACGGTAAATGGGGAGAATCCTCGTACGATGATACTCCGCCGCACAACGACAATAAAAATAAACATGAAAACAAGGATGAGAATATATTTAACTTGGCAATGCTTCTTGTCTTCAGCTGTGTTGTGATGTGGGCTGCTTGAGGGGCTGAGCGAAGTTGACTGTGGCGGTGGCAGGATGGGAATCGTGGTTGGTGGCAGGCTGGGAGTCATGGCTGGTGGCAGGGTGGGAGTCGACCATCGGCTTGACGGATGGCGGGAGGGCATCAGTGCTTGTGAGATCGCTTTGTGGGAGGGTTGGGCCAGACTGCGCGGCGTACGCGGCGTACGCCGCGTACGCTCCTATGATGAAACATACCGAGCGTACGCTGCGTACGTCATGACGCCCGTACGCCGCGCACTCTGGCTCAACCCGGAGGCTGCGGCCTTCTCTTCTGTGAGCAAAGTAGATAGTTGTGACCAAGGCCGCAGACACTACATTTGACTGCACATGAATCTTCATGGGCTTCCTTCAGGCTGCCTGAAGGAAGCTCACTGAAAGCACAGCCCTAGTCGAGTGGCTTGCGACGTTTTGGATACCGGATCCGGGTAACGGAGGCATCTCGCTGAGTAGTGGCTGTCACGGTTTTCGGCAACCGTGCAGAAAATGCAGCTAGACTCGGGTGCACGGCGTTCTAGGAGCACAGCTTGCTGCTCGAGTATCGTCTGCATTTTCTGCTCGAGGGCCTGCATTTGTTGCTGAAGGGCCAGCCTATCCCGCTTAGCGGCTTGCATCTCGGGCAGTAGGTGGTGAAGCAGAGTTGAGACGTTACATCTGTCGAGTTCGTCGATAGCGGCTTGCATATCTGGCGAGAATGACATGTTGGTAATGTGGTATAGTCCATCTGCTTTTATACAGATTTTTACTGCCTATCTAGGTTCCGCCCACGCTATATAGCCTAAGTTGACTGTATGCTGCTTTATATCTTTGAAGTAGGTTTGTTGCCCTTGATATAGCGGATTGCTATCTGGAGGTTATGTGATGTGCGAAGTATTAGGTTGTAAAGAAAGTTTCCGGGCACTTTTGGAAATTTCATTTTCAAACGCATTTTTTTGGCGCTCGGTCGGACTTTGACGCCATATTTTTTATACTATTCAGTAGAGGGAATCCTGAAGCTTTCAATACGCCTTCTGACTTTTATCGATGTCAAGACGTGTTTAATCTGCACATCAAGAAGGGAAATCTTTTCAACCACAAAAATTTCACAGTTTTTCTTTTCACGGCCATTTTTTTGTGCAGTTCAAAGAATTTCGTCCAAGTCATGGGTGATCTGATTGGAAAGCCTGTAAACTTCGTACATGCAACTGACTCGAGTTTTGCGATTTGCGGTTGGAAATTACAAGCTGTTGAACCTGCGTCTGTCTGCAACTCTTTTCACAGCTGGCGTCGATTTTACGGGGATCGCCACGCCTGGATGACGGGTCAAAAGATGTGCAAGGCATTACCCCACCATTGGCAGTAATCAAAGTTTTGGTGCTTTCTGTGCAGAACTAGAACATTCAAAGTCACTTAATCGAAAAATGGTGCATTTTTGGGGGCAAAAAATGGTCGATTTTTCAAATTTTTTGGGAAAAGTTTTTTTTGCAGCTGGTCCTTCAAAAACATGAATTGTCCCCATAACAGCCGCAGCAAGCCTCTATATAACTACAGCATCTGGGCTTTCCAGCTCTCATCCTGCCTGAGATAATCCTGCACAAATAGGCCACTTTTCGCAACGACATTTTTCCCTTCTGCACATGTCGGTGGACCGCAGTGAGGTGCTGAGAAGCCAGCAAGACAAATATGTGTTGTGGACGAAATTCTCTTTGCAATGAAGTTTGTAGCTTGAAAAAAGAATCAATCTGCTTGAAGTTACAGCGATTTGAAAAAAATTTTCGCAAATGCCCGGGAACTTTCTTTACAACATAATAGTTGGTGGGACCGGTGCTAAGTGCTCGATAGCGTATTGATAGCCTGCATGACTAGTTGTTATATACACTATCCAGATATGCATATAAAATCAGTTTATGTTATCAGCTGATCCCTTACATACTAAATGGGATCAGCGGAACATTAATGGAGCCGTGAAAATTTTTATGATGCCCATGATGATGTAGATCATAATATTGGCAGGTACACAAAAGCTGTTGGGCCTGCTAGGTAGGTCGCAAGCGTGAGAAATGCTACCGACGTGAGAGCCGCTAAACTGATTTTCCAATGCTGTTTTATGATTTCTATGGTCGGCGCGACTTCTGGCACGCTGATATCGGTGAACCATTGATGGTGCAAAGGTACAGCGTAGGAGTCTTCATCGAACGACACTGGATCAGCGTTATGTGATAATGACGAGTACCTTGAAGAGTAATGGATGCTGGTCCGTGATGACACTGTACATTACACTTTTCACTGATCATTGCTCGTTCAGGTGCTAGGCCAACAGGGGTAGAATCGTTGTTTGAAGAGCATCGGACATTGAAATTCTGGGTTTCACATGAGACCGGTCACTGTTCTCTCAAATGAAGATTGACAGTATGCAACGACAGTAGCGCCATGTAAACAGCTATAGCATTCAGTCACCTTGCTGAGACGAACTTCGCATTCCCATTAGGAATATTTCTTCTGCTGATTCAGCTAATATTGAAGACGCGATTGACAACGTGAATTCGCTTTCATCTGAAAGTGCTATCACGTCGTTACCTGATCTTGTTATTGTGGAAACTGGGGTTTCCAATGGTAGTTTCGCAGATGAGCGATTTCTGAGGGCATCGATCGAGTCGTCCGGACGAACGGTGAACGGAGTTGTCGCAATGGCAAATGACTCGCTTCCAGAGATAGCGAAACGCTTGTTTAGCAGTGGTAGTGATAGCTTCTAAATAGAAATGACCGTTACGTTGAAATTATTGATCTTTTCCGTAACATATGGCTGGATCAAGCGAGTGCTCCTAGATGTTTTTCCCAGCTTTGTGTATTCCATGCGTATATGCACATTAAGCTTCCATTTTGAGCAGGATATCACTTCATATATCTGATCGGAGATTGGTCTATGAGCGACTCGATAAAACTGACATGCTGGTAGAGGAAGCAAGCATCCGCAGAGTATTCCTCCGCAAATGTCGATGCAGCCGGAATATCCTGGGAATTTGTTGGACTTCCGCAGTTCTTCGACGTTTTCGTTTGCGTGCATAGTATGACACTTGTCATGAATGCATGATCCTGCTTGCGCACATCTTTCTACATGGAAGATGCGAATTTTGGTATCTCTGGTGAAGGTGTGCAGGACCTTAGAACAAGTGAATCGTGTCGGTCTTTTAGTAAGCTTCACCATACCCATGGTCACATTTTCATGCATAATTTTAATGCATATCTCTGATATCACCTTATTGAACAGCAACTCATTACTGTACTCATAGTGGCAGCTGTCTGTACCTGTACAGACAAGGTTCGCAGCGTGTCTTGTGTAGTCTTTTTGACAAGCATGTGCGTTGACAATTAATGCATTAACTAGTAAGCAAATAGTTGTTGCATTCATTCCGGGAAGAGCTGGTTTGAAAGAGAGATTTAGAACTTTACATATTTGATGTTGTACCGGAAGTGTTTCTTTGACGGTGTTTCGTCGTTTTCTGCCTAGTTTTGATATTGAACAGATGATTACGATATCTAGCTAATGAAGTAGAGGATCATAGGTACGGTAACGATAGCGCCAAATGGCCAGCAATGGGGGTTTCCCAGCAGGGTTTTTGACAATTTCTGGTGATCACAGGATTGCGGTGTTTTACATATCAGTGTCGATTCATGAGCGCCATCGCCTGTTAATACTTTGCTGAAACGCACTGAGGCACTGGTATTGATCGGTGATATGGGCAACGCATATCGCATGCCGTGCGTGGTATTATCGATCGTTTTGCAATCGTTATCGATGCATAGCGTGTAAGGCGCGCCTTGCCATGGGATGTGAACCTTGCCCTCGCAACAGCTGATCGCCGATGATGAGTTTTGCGCCTTGATTGGCGATACTAATGTCAATATGGCTACTAGAAAAACAGAGAATGTGGGTTTGAGGATATGTGCAGACTGATTAAGCCTATTTCCACACTCTTTGATGGCATCGTAAGCTTTCATTTTGAATGCTCTTTCGGGCATTTTTCTTACGTTTTTCTCTACCGTTTGCAAAGGTTGGGTAAGCGCTTCTTCAACCTGGGTAATGGGCTCTTCTGATACGGAGCGGATTTCCAGCGAAAAGATTGTATTAACTGAGCGCTGCACAATCTTCTTATTTGGTAGAAGGATTAAGGCGGATCTTATTGATCCATCTGCGCTCTTCACATTGTCCACGATTCTACTGTATGACCAACATCCTCTGGAAAGTAGCTCCCGTTCAATCAGTGCTATTTCACCGACTTGTGGATCTGATCGCAGAATCGATCATGGTTGTTCATGATGAAGTCTTTGCATTTCTCTCAATGAAGTAAGATATTCTGTGTTCCATTTCTCCCAAATTTATTGGCAGTGGTCTCAGATGACTGAATTGCTTCATTGACTTGCTTTTCATTCTGAATCAGTTCAGGATCATAGCTGGGATCATCTGAATCCTCCAGTATCTCACCTGTGGGTATGGAATACATCAGATTGCCTCTCAAAAAATCAATGGGTCTTAGCGGTAACTGTGCGATGTCACTAGCGTTTACCTTTGTTAGTGGCCTGGTATTGATTATTGCTTCAATACGCGCTACTGCGGTAAACATGTCCGCGAAATTGAGGCGTTTCCGCTCGATTGATTTATTGAAGGCTTATTTAACTATGCCAACCAACCTTTCCCATGCGCCGCCCATCCAAGGAGAAGCTAGAGGGTTGAGTATCCACCGTATTCTTTCTGACGCGCAATAGGACATTAGTGATGAACCATTTTGACCTTGTTTTTCAAACATTTTTGGATGATCAGTTCTCCTAATTTGAAGTTGGTGCCGCAATCGCTGCGTACGATTGCTGGAGCTCCTCTGCGAGATATGAATCTCAGGGAACTGTTCAGAAAGGCGCCTGCCGATAGGTTTTCTACCACTTCCAAATGCACTGCCCGAGTTGTCAGGCATGTGTACAAGCAGACATACATTTTTTCACTGTTTTTTGCTGTGAAAGGTCCCATAAAGTCCTAACCGACATTTTGAAAGGGTTTAGATGTAACCACTCTGTCTTTTGGTAATGAAGACATTATGGGGCTCTATATTGTGGCCCTTGGTACTTTTTGCAAATCACGCAACTCTTTACCATAGTTTGGAATGCACGAGAAGGCCGTGGTAGCCAGAATCCCTGTCTAATGATGCACAGAGTGTGATCTTTACCACAGTGTCCATTGTTGGAATGGATTTCATCAAGCAATGATCTTGTGAACTCGAAGTCTCTGGGATGTGAATCGGCGATTTTGTATCAAACGGTATAGCCCGTTTTGGAGACGAGAGTGGTGACGTATTATGCCGTTTTTATCGGTGATGATCTGTTTTTCGTGAAAGCGCTTTTGTAAGTGAGCGATATCCACTTGTTGATGTTCGTGTATAAGTATCAAGATTTCGGCGAGATTCATGTCATTTGCTGTAATTTCTGCTTCTTTATCAAACATGTTTGTGTTACCAAATTTGATTTAGTGTTTTGATGCTCATTGGTGGAATCCATCCATTCTCGAGCAATTTTTCCGACAGTAGCTGTCACTCTGAGCGCTTTATCTAGTTTGGAAAAGCGACTGAGATCGATGAAATCGTCATGTTTTGCAGCTTCTGTGCCGGTTTATACATTGATAGTAATCTCTTGCTCTGCTGTCTCTTCATACGAAAGAGCGTCTGTTGACCTTATTGGCCAGCGGTTGGCATCATTTTTAAGCCACTGTGGACCTATGACCCAAACGTGTGTAGCGATTTCTTTGGCTGTCAACCCTCTGGAACCTGCGTCGGCAGGATTGAAGTCAGTGGCAACGTGGTAGAATTTAACCTTTATGTTCAAAGCTTTGAAATGGGCTTTGATTTTCATTATTCTATCACGCTGATTTGCAACAAACACTGGTAATTTTTTGTTACATTTTATCCAACACAACGAAATTTCACTGTCGCTGACTAGGCACACTTCGTTTATACTATTTTTTGAGGCGTCGCTGATGGTTTTGCTCAATCTGGCGGCCATCATAATTTCGAGTAGCTCCAACCTAGGAATCGTTTGATAACACTTTTTTGGAGTTAAACGTGTTTTTCCACTGATGAGCGAAGGTACATCGCCTGAAGGCATAATCTGCAGATATGCACAAGTTGCCATTGCTGCCTTGTTGGCATCCGCGAAAACCCACAGGCATCTGGTGCCTCCTGTCCGGAGGCTCTCTGGCATGTATCTGTCGACTGATATTATGGCCTGATTGACCTCACTGCACAAATCAGCCCATCGATTGCATATAGCAAGAGGAAGTGGAGTTTTCCAGTCGGCTCCACTGTCAAAAACTTCTCTCATCAATGTTTTTAATTTGACGAGAAGTGGTCCTGCAAGACCTATAGGGTCGAAGACAGAGTTGATTTAGCTGACTATGTCCTTTTTAGTCAATTTTGCGAATTTCGAAAATTTGGTTTCAACTTTAAATCTGTCATTTGCCGTGTTATAATTGTCACCCAACAGCTTTAGTGAACCAGGATTTAGCAGATTTTGTTTTGCTATTTTACTGTTCACTTCTTCTGAGTTTGAGGCGTATTCTCGCAAATTCATTCCGATTTTAGCGAAAAGAGATTTTGTCCCATGATACTTGCTGACAGCTTCATCTTCGGTGTCTGACAATAGTAGAATGTTGTTTACATACAAGTTCTGAGCTATTTCCTTTGTTAGAACAGAATTTTGAAGGTTGAGATAGGCTAAAATTGCCATATTCAAAATACTAGGAGAGGCTGTCACTCCAAATGGCAGCCGGTTGAATCTATACTCCACTATGTTATCTCTAGTGGGCGGGTGATTCACGTTTTTCGACCACAAAAATCTGCATAGGTCTTTGTGGGCTTTACTAAACAAATTTGTGTGAAGGCGGCCTCGATATCGCACGTCAAAATAATTTTTTTAAAACGTGCATGTGTGAGAATGTCGTAAATTTTATTGACAAACGACTCGCCTTTTTGAGTCACATCATTGAAGCAAAGCTTTCCCTTTCTCTTAGATGAAGCGTCGAAGACTATACGGAGTTTAACTTTTTTGTGAGCTTTCCATACTCCAGAATGTGGCATGTAATATATGCCAGCTGCTTGAGAATTATGTGAATCAAAGGTTTCGATAACGCCTTCGTTTTTGTATTCTCGATAAGCTCACAGTACCCTTTACTTTGTTCTGGATTATGGGACAATGTGCATTGTAAGGATTGCTTTTTAATGGCTAGGGTGTAGTTATCCTCAAGGTCGCGCACGTTTTCCTTAAGCGGAAAAGGGGCTGTCACTATCCCGTTTTCGAAGGAGATTTTCTTGGAATATTCCTTAAGGTATTTCTGGATCACCTCGTTTTTTTTGATACTCTTAAGGTGTTATACCGAGTCTTTCAAGCTCAAACAGCTTTTGAAGAACTTCCTGTTCAGTGTTTTCGCAGACGGCTGTCATGCTGTAATTGAGAGATTGTGAATTCGGATCACCAGAAAAACCGCGACCGTAAATAGTGGGGCCGAAAACCGTTTTGGCAATGCGGAAACCTGGTGGCATTTTCTCCCCATGTTTGGGGTCAATAACTAGGTCGTGATAATAATCTAGACCTACTAGAATATGTGGGATTTGATGTTCTCCACGTATACTCGGGTTTGCCAAACAAAGGTTATTTGCCTCAAAGGCAGTGTCCGGGCAAAAACTCGATTTTGAGATTTTGTGCTTATACGTGCCTATTCGCCATGCTGAATCCGAAAATCCACATTAGAAAGCGCGAAAACGGCGAAAAAGGGCCCTAATATAGAAGGGAAAACAGCAGGTGGGCGGGGCTTTCCCCAGTGCGATTTTACGCTCCCAGCTGCCGGAGCGATTTTCTCGATTCTGCTAGCCGTTCTAACATCGCTACCGGCCAAGTGCGAATGATTGACTTAAAACCGGAAGCGAGAAGGTCGCTCCGGAAGCCGGGAAGGTAAATTCGCAGTGGGGAGGACCCCGCCCACCTGCTCATTTCCCTTCTGTGTTAGAGCCGTTTTTTGCCATTTTCGCGCTCTCCAATGTGCATTTTCGGATTCAGCGTAGCGAATAGGCCCATATAAGCACAAAATCTCAAAATCGAGTTTTTGCCCGGACACTGCCTTTAAGATGAGCTATATCTGCTTGATTGAGTTTTGCAGAAGGAAATCCGTTTGCAATCACTGGTTTAGTTTGTACAGTGATCTCGATTTCCTCGTCAAAAGCGGTTCCGACTTTCAGCGGTATGAGATGACTTTTGAAGGTCTCAGTATGGCCACCGATACCGGACATAGTACAAATTCCGGTAGTCTGTTTCGGTAAGCCAAATTGCTTTACGATTTTTCCTCAGTGACTTTTTGTGCACCTGTGTCAAAGAAGAAAAGCACTTTTTGAAATTGACTCTTTTTTACATTCCAAATATTCCCTTCAGCTGTTTGTGGTGGCGCTGGGATGAGTATTTTGGGTTGTTTCGACATCCGCACACATTTATGTATTTGTTGGATTCGGTCTTGAAAAACCCTGATGAGTATTGTTTTCTCGCTGTCCCGTATTGGGTCAGTTTCTTTGCCTTGTTTGATTTGCATTGAAGTTGCTTTTTGCTCTGTGATCATATGCGTGATGCCGTGAGCATTATCCTTTTTCAAACAAAGGCTGATGTGGTGTTTCTGCCCGCATGCTGCGCAGTCTTGCTTCTGGCAATCAAAACCATGATGATTCGCGGAGCAGCACTTCAAATACCTATTGTCGTCTCTTTAAGTATCTTTCGGCGGCTGCTTTGATCCGTAACGGTCCTGCATTGCATGGACGAGTGGTTGGATCTGTTGCAGAATAAGCATCCTTCACCGTTCTGAGGTCGCGGGTTTATTGCTTTCATTCGTGATTGTGTGACCTTAATGCTGTTTTGCTGACCAAGTCTGTCTTCGACATATGCTTTTGCGGCAAGCTCTTTCTTTAGTGCTGTCATTAGGTCACCAATTGTTTGCTTATCTTGCACCCGAGTAGCAATCAGAATTAACCTCACGATATCTTGAGGAAATTTGGAAAGAATGGTTTCGCTCCATATGGGGTCGCAAGTTTTTCTGACTTCATAACCCGCGCGGAGGTCATCTGATTCATCAACATGCTGATCTCATCGAATACCATAGTGCATTATCAGCTGAGTCGCTTGCCGACTTCATATTGATAAGTTTTTGCACGATCTACGACCTATTTGTAGGCTGGTTGCAATATCTTTCCTTCAAGGTCTCTATGATCCGGTTATAATTTGCAGGGATCAAATTTGTTCCCTTTATTGCTGTTTGAGCCCGTCCTTTGAGGCTTTCTTTCAATAGCATTATTTTTGTCATAACCTGAATATCATTTTTGTGGACCAGAGTTTTATAATAGGCCCTGTTGTGTTTGCCATGGCGTGTGTAGGAAGACCATTGGAGACCGAGTTCTTTACTTGACGACAAGAAACTAAGAATAAATTGTACTTACTAAGAAATACCTATATATAGTGCACAGAACTATATCACATATCATAAACAACAGATCAACATATTCTCATTCTTTTCAAGCGCTGGCTTCTTGTGCGGCTGCACAACAGG